GACCATACCAACACAGAATGACCTCCCCGTTTATCATTTATCATTTTATCTCCCCAATTATCATTTGCCTTAGCATTGTTAGTGATTATTAGTTATTTATTATTGTTGACATAGGTGTGTGTGTTCTGCCCAACTTAAGATGTAATATAATGTTGTGTTAATTTGCCTGAGTTTGTGGTTTGATTTTACTACTTAATAGGTGTCTGACCTTGGGCAAGTTTCCAAACTTTTTGTGCCTCAGCTTCTTTGTTGGTAAAATGATAATAAAAATAGCACCTATTCTATAAAGTTTCTGAAGATTAAAAGAGTTTGTGCATGTAAAGCACTGTGAATGGTGCCTGGCATGTAGAAGGCACTCAGTAAGTGTTGGCAAAAACCATCTTCTTCTCCCTCGGCCCCCACATCTCCCTCTGACACCTGATCTGTAAGCTCCTTGATAACAGGAATAACTATCATTTTTAATAGCATCCATAGGGCAGCACAGAAGGTACTAAATAAATACTTCTTAAATGAAAGAATATACTTTTGATTGATAAATTGAAAATCATATCAGAATAATATGTTAACATTTAAATAAAAACAATAAAGTTCCAATTGTAACAATAAATGTCCCAATAATTTGAATGCAGGTGTTGTTTTTCAAGTATGCCAGTTTCTATCTTGTAGATTTATATTGTTTCTAGGAACATGATGTAGGAAGACAATAGGTTTTCTCCTCCCGGATTATAAGCCTACTCTTCTGAGTGGTGAGAACAAAGATAATTCCCCTGAAGGGGGAATTTTACTCACTGGGATACTTAAGGTCCAAAGACCTCTAGGTTTTTTCCAGTCCAACTGGAAAAGAAGCCTACAGAAGGATCATTAAATGCCTTCCTTTGCAGGGCAAACAAAAATCCCTGTTTTAATACACAATCCAAGAAAAAACAGAGACAAAGGCCAATCCTTGTCTTTTAAAAGGAATACGAGACTAGCAGATGAGTCTCCTATTGTATCCTGTTTACAGGTGCTTGAGATTACATGTCAAAATCTCCTGCTCTTCTTCCCAGGAAGAAATTACTTGTGCATTTTGTGTAAGCAAACGAGGTCTAATGGACCAAAATGTAGGGTCAGTTTGGGAGGTATTTATTGCTTCCTACTTCCCACTGTGATATTTTGTTTGGTCCTTTCTAACAGGAGAGTCAGACTTTACATGTCACTGGACTTTCACACGTTCAAAGGACTTTCATCCGTATTTGAAGAAACATAACTAGCAAATGAAAACAGAATATCAATAGCGTCATGTAGCAAAAAAATTAGAAGTATATTCTATAATTGCAGACAAATTTTCAAGTGTTAACCTGACTGACTTGTTCAGTCAATCACTGCACAAACAGTGAAGTCTGGGGGCAGCGGTGCAACCCTCTGAGCAGGATGAGATGAGAAGAACCTCTGACACAGCAGGCAGATCGCCAAACAAGGTTCTTGTGCCAGGGTCACCTTCTGAGAGTTTGGGTATGTACCAGAGTCATGGAAAAGTGCGTGGGATTGAGTAGGAGGGGATGGGATGAGTTGAATATCTAAGATGTCTACTGCATGTTAAAAAAGTTTTATTTGGGCTAGAAAACAATCCATGGAACACGCAATTACTGAAAGTGATTGTCTCTTCTTTGTCATGTTCAGAGCCAAGTGTTTTAGAGACACAAATTTTTTTTATACATGGCTGGTAAAGGCTCTGACCAGATATCAAATATGTCATTAAATCGTCCATATATGTAAATAGAATCACTTATAAGAAGTGATTGCTGAAGCTTAATTTCATTTCAGAAACAGTAATAATACATCCTATTTTGCAAATATGTAGTGAGGATTAGAGCTAATGTAAGTGGAGTGCTCTGCAGTGTTTTGCATATTATTGACACTGAGTAAGTAGTTGCCTTTATTGACTGAAAGCAGTGGTGGTGCTATCTAAGCTCCATTTGCTGCAAGAGATTATTCAATTCTTCCAACTCAAATGAGACTGTCAGTGGAGATAGGCGCAAGGGAGAGAAATGGCGGGGAGAGTAACTTTCGTTAACAAGCAGGGAAAATAAGCATTTAGGGAAGAATAACCAAGATGAAACAAAATTACTACTCCCCTTGTGTATGAGTTTCCTAGGGCTGCTGTAACAAATTACCACAAACTGGGTGGCTTACAACAACAGATATTTATTGTCTCACAGTTCTGGAAGCCAGAATTCTGAAGCCAAGGTGTTGGCAGAGCCATGCTCCCTCTGAAGGCCCTAAGGAAGACTCCTGTGCCCCTTCTAGCTTCCGGTGGTTGCCACTCTCTACCTACGTAGTCACATAGCATTCTTCATTGTGTGTCTGTGTTTCTGTTTTCTCTTCTTATAAAGAAACCATTAGTCATGGGTTTAGGGTCCATCCTAATCCAGTGTGACCTCATCTTAACTAATTACATCTACAGAGACCTTATTTCCAAATAAGGTCACATTCTGAAGTTCTGGGTGGGTATGAATATTGGGGAGGGACCACTATTCAGCCCTGGACACCTTGACACTCCTCACCTATCCACCCCATGCTTTCCCTCCCAGTGTCCCCAGCACATACACATCTTCCAGATTTCCCCTGAATGAGGCTATTGGGACAGATTGCTTCATGTCTGAGATATAGTTGTTTCTGCATATTTGGAGGTAAACTCTGGAGAAGGAGGATCGAAAGTACATCTTTGTTTCTTTCCTCTATAGTCTTACTAATTCAGATCTGTCTCAAAAAAAAAAAAGTCTTCAAAATCCCACTGGCATCAACCATCTGGAGATGCTGATGTGAATCTTGTTCTACATTTCAACTTCTTCACTATCTCATTGTCATGAATGCTTCAGATAAAACAATCCACTCATTCATTTCTTATTTTAGAAGCAAAGCAATTTGATGTGAGGACAGGTCCAGGAGGTTTGGCCATGGGAGTGTGTAGCGTGGAGGACAGTAGTGTCAAAAACAAAGTTGTTATAGATAAGGAGCAAAAGGGACCTGATAGTAAAGGAGTTATCTACTTCCTTGCTGAAGTCACATCACACAGGATGATGGCAGGACTTGGGGTGAGAAGCCTGGAGCTCCCAGTAACTGAAGTAGAGGACATGCAATGTCAAATAATGACAGGGACAAGGAGGTGCTGGTGCTCATGACAAGAACCCCAAGAAGAAGAGTGGTCAGGTTTTTAATCCCTCAATGAGGGTAGAGGACAAATGGTCTAGAAGTGACAGGAAGACCTGAAGTGATACTGACCCCATCTCTCAACATTGACATGAAAGACAGTTGGTAACAAGTGACCTTCACTTGGGAGTCTTCCAGAAAGCAGGGTCCTCAAGGGACAATTTTTGATTGAAGCATGGAAGATAAAGAAAGGAATGTCTGATACAGAGAGAAAGGATGTAAGAGTGTGTTTATTCTGGTCTGGAAGCTCCAGAGAATGTGCTAGACGGTAAGGAAGGAGGATTGTGGCAAGAGAAGGTTGGATCAGAATAACATGAGGTATGAGGATATGGGGGAAGAGAAATGAATGGAGGAAGCATTATTTTTAGGTGGCAAGCCAGGTGGGGGAAGGTGGATTAAGCTAGCCATTAGCTTGCCCATGGAATTAGTCCCAGTATCCCCTCGGTGGCTGGAAGGGGTTATGGAATCCTCCTAGATCCATTTTCAAGTCTTAGGGGAAAGGGGGAATTCTGAGCTGTTGAAAGAAGTTACCTATGGTCTGGATTGACTGTGATGGTCCCAGGGAGATTCTACTCATGAGCTACTTGCACACAGATACCCAGACAGTGGTTAGGGCACCGAACATGGAGAGCCTGGGCTGGGAGGGACTGGTGGGAGCAGACTCTTTAAGGGAGCAGTAATGACCAGGAGATCTTGTCATACAACCAGCCCTGCTTTTCCCTTTGGGACTCCAAGCCCAACTATAGTGTTACAGATTCTGAGTGCAGTCTGGAAGCAGTAATAAGTCTGTAGCTAATATTTTTGAAATCTCCTTTCTACTCTGTCCCCAGAGATCAACGGAGAGGCCAGGCAGCTTGCTGTGACAGAGAGGATCATCAGGCTTGCCAGTTTTCTGGATGAAATGGAGAGGTATAATAAATTTGAAAAATGGAAAAAAAATCTACCCCTGACCAACCAAATGGGCCACTCTTTAATAATCGAGAACATCACGCAGCAGCAAAGATCAAAAGCGGGTACTAAAAGATAAATGATTTTTGATAAGTACTTCCAATTACACATTGGAAATGAATGTAATCCCTTTGTAAGGTGTAAATCAAGCAACATCCAGATTTTAATCTAAACTCAGGGTCCTGTGCCCGGTTACACACAGTTCATGGAGAAAAAGAGGCCAAGAAAACAACTAGAAAAAGAGGCTCCTCTCAAAGCCCTCTTACATTTGATCAGAGTTGTCTCTCAAAAAACAACAGAACCAGAAGAAAAAGAGATCACTTAGACAACATCCCGGCTGTACAGCGATTTCTTATTAAAACTTAGTTCAAGAAAGAAAAATCATTCTTAGAATTTGAGAACTTGCTAGAAAATATCTCTTTTTTCCCTGAAAGTGACCTTGTTATCCAGAAGCCTCTAAGCCTTCCTGGAATTTTTATGCAGAACTCCAGAGAGTTCAGTAAAGATTTTCAAATACAGCTACATCTTCTCTAACATTATATGCAGTGGCCTTCTTCCTTCTAGAAT